AAACCCAAGGCAAATAGACACTCCATGGGGAAGTCTAAATACAACACATACCAAAGCCAATTGCAAAATATAGGCCCTATGACAGCATACAGCTGTAGCTGCACAAACTGATGCCCTGATTGCTCCAATTGCCCATCTCCCTGGTATCTGCTAGGTAAGAGGAAAGCTGCTGGTGGTTGATTTTGATGACAGGAACTGCACAGTGCAGTGGTGATACTAGACTGCAAGAAGTTGACCCCATCCTACTGCTTTTTATCTCCTAATCCTGTGGATTTTAGACCTAGCAGGATGGGGGAAGGTGACAAATATCCCATGCTGAGATGTCAGATTTGTACCAAATCCAGCCAGTACAGTAACAGTTGTTGGGTCTTCCTAGCTAATATTTTCAAAGTGATCTGAGGACAGCCTCTCTGTATGCCATCCCTGGAACCCCGCATCAAAACAGTGTTTCCTGTGCTATGTTTTCTAGCAGTATGAGGAGCAGAGACATCTTAGATGCTTTGCACAACTCTGATCTCTCTAGGGCCAGAGGAGATCATCACAGGAACAAGCAGACAAGATACAGCTGTGAGGAAGTGTATTTCACCTGCTGGAACTGTTGGGTGGCCTGGTGAAAGGAAGCATGAGGAGATGGCTTTCTCCCACAGTGCAGAGCTGAGAGGAGGAAGTTCTTTCCATCACTGAAATTTGTAGGAGTTCAAAAAGGGACAGCTCAAAAGAATAAGCCATTAAGGGCTTTTAAATGGAGACACCTTGTCTGGCTCAAAAAAATGCTGATCAGCAGAGCCTGGGCAGTTTTGGGGAGATTGGCATGTTTCCACAGTTCCCTCTCTTCTGAAAGCATCATTTCTTCTTTGTGCCTTTTTTTTTTCCTCTTAATGTTATTGAGAGCTCCTTGGGGAACAATAAAGGGAGGTGATGTGTGGAGCACAGGTTGTTCCAGGATTATAATGCCTTATTGCTCTTTAGCAGTAAATAAAATTGGCTGCCATAGCCTGAGAGGAGATTGGCCTGTTTTACAGCCTTCTTTGTCTCCCTGAGCTCTCAGCTTGGAGTCATTAAAGGGGTGACCCTGGAAATGTTGGCAGAGATTAGCTGTTGCTCAATGCATGGGTGCCCTCCTAGTGTGCCTCATGGTGTGATAGGCTACGCTGTTTCCCAGGAGCAATCAATGTCAGTGAGGTTTTAACATAGAGAACTGGGGCAGGCATCCAGGTTGATATCTTCAGTCAAAGAGAACGTCCTGGTCCACAGATCATCAATGGTTCCGCTGGCAGTGAGGGCTGAGCGTAGCCAAATCCTCACCTGATGTTTGTGGAGGGAACATGCACGAGCAGTTTGGATAAGCTGGTTCTGCTGTGATTGAGTCTAGCAGCAGTGGCCCAGTGCAGATGCAGCCTTGAATATCCAGAGAATGAGGAAAAATCTGCATCTGCCAGAAATCAAAAAGCCAAATTCTTTTCTGAAAAAAAGAAATTTGGCTAAAGCTAGGTAAGGGAAGAGCTGTTCTTAAAGCCAGGTTCATTTTCAAAGCAACGATGAATCATCTCACGAAGTTACGTGCATCCGCAGAGATAATAAAGACACTTATTCTTCTTGGCTATTTCTTATTAAGCAGTGATGTGATGCTAACAGGTATCTGTGATGCTGGAGCAAAGTGGGGCCGATGGCTTCTGGAAGAGCAGTATTTTTCCTTTTTTACTTGGTCAAGTAGTGAACTGAGCCAAGGGACAAAGCCTGGTTGGGGTGCTCAGGGTCTCAAATGCTTGAAATGTGTTCGCTCGTGTGCTGCACATAGAACCAGAAACAGGGTGTTATCAAGGCGAAGCTTGGAGTAAATAGCAAAACAGAATAGAAAGATCTCTGCTTTTTTTTTCTTTTTTCTTTCCTCTTTAATTTGTGTTAGAGGAAGAAGGAGGTGTGCTGACCTGAATATTCTGGAGTAAGGAGCTGTGGGACAGAGGTGGCTCTCAGGCAAAGCACGGGCTGTGGCATAGCAAAGTGGAGGCCCTGGTTTACCTCTCTTTTCTCCCTAAGCCTTTCAACTAACTCTTCGAGAACCTGGATGGGAAGGCAGGCCCTTTTTGCAGCCCTCTGCTGCTCCCCAGTGGCTGTATGAAGAAGGCATCACGGAAGGATTTCCAAAGGGTGAAGCCCTGGAGATGCTGAAGGGGCCGTAGCGTCTGAAAGCAGAGCTCCCGATGACCACCTCTGCTTTCCCCAGGTCTCAAAGATAATTCTCACGGGGCCTGAGAGGAGCAGGACGACAAGGATTTGGGAGAGATCCCTTTGCTACCACTTGCCTTGCGGCTGGAAGGGTATGGATTTGCAGCTGCAAGTGTATGGATTGGGGGAATATTTAAGAGAGACAATGCCTGCTCAGAGACCAAGGCAGAAAAATGGCAAATGAGGAACAATGTCTCCAGTTGTTTCCTATCCCTGCAAATGTCAGTGAAGGGTTGTTTGTGGTCAGTGTGGCAGGTGCTTTGGCTAAGTCACAGAAGAAGAGAAATGGAGAAAAGTAAGAGGAATTTACAGAGCCAGCCTTTGCCATCCCACAGTGTGTTGCTGTGTGCAGCTCCTGTCGGGAACGTTTCCCAGCGCAGCACAGGCAGTGTCTGCACTAACCTCACTTGTAATGCACACAAAAGCAGGACAAGGTCAGATCAAGCATTTCTCCAACCTTCCTCCCATCTCTGATGATGACCTGTAGGAGTTACGCTTGGAAAAGCAGGTGGTTGTTACTGTGCTTATGTACTGCCTTTCTCTTTTCCCTTCCGTGCTCTTCTGGACCAAATTGTTTTTCTTCTTAGTTTCTGTTGCATTCTCAGGCATTTACCAGGTTGTTTTCCATTAGTAGAAGTTTTGCCAGAAAACCAAGTTTTGAGATATTGTACCTATTTTCAGCTTCTGTTTCAACTGGTCAAGTAATCTGATATGAAATATAAGGAGATCAATTGTTGAAATGCTTTGTTCAAGAATGATATGCAGTATGCACGTCACAGCTGACCCACATACACATATGGTTAACATGAAGGGAGATGGAGAACAGCACACCAAACGTACGTGACCAAAAGATGAAGTTTCCTTGCTCAAGGACTAAATTTCATGCAATGCTCTCCATCTGTGAGTATTTAGAGGAGCAACATTAAAGAAAGATAATTATACCATGCGTCATTAGGCCACAGCTCAAAAGGGAAGGAAGGGCATCTTATGATGGCAACCAGTTGCAACGCATCCAAGGCAAAAGGCGTTTTGAGTTATGGAAGCCAGTAGATGAAGAAGGTGTAAAAATTCCATTGCCAGTTCTCATACAATCATAGAATGGCCAGGGTTGAAAAGGACCACAATGATCATCTAGTTTCAACCCTGCTATGTGCAGGGTAACCAACGACAGACCAGGCTGCCCAGAACCACATCCAGCCTGGCCTTGAATGCTTCCAGGGATGGGGCATCCACAGCCTCCTTGGGCAACCTGTTCCAGTGCCTCACCACCCTCTATGTGAAAAACTTCCTCTTAATATCTAACCTACACCTCCCCTGTCTCAGTTTAAGACCGTTCCCCCTTGTCCTATCACTAATCTTTTATGTGGCAAAAATGTCTTTGCCAGCTGAAGAATGGAGTGTTTGTTGCTCTTTCTGCATATTTCTGAGGTCTTTTGAGGGTTAGGGAAGAGAAAAATAACATCTGATAAATTGTAGTTTAGGCAGTAAGTCTGCATGTTTTTAGATAGGATGAAAAGGTAAAACTAAACTATAGAAAAAGAAGTTGAAAATGATGTCTTTCCAATAACATTTTCAAAATCCTTCATCTTTTAGAGAATTCTCCATTCCTTTGATTTACAGAAAATAACCATTGTAGCTTTTCCAACACGTGGGCTGTTTTTAAATGATCTAAAGTGAGAAGAAAGAGTTAAAAACTGGGAAAGTGGTTGAAAAAGTACAATGCTCCCATCCTTCCTCTCTCCCACCCAGCTGGTTTATGAAGTATTCTGTCTGTCTGTACAAGTTTGAAAAAGGGTAAATCTAAGACCAAAGCCCCATTATAGGGGTTTTTTATTATCTGGAGAAATCTTCTGGTTTTGAAATTGGAATGAAAACTATCTTTATGAAAATAGTTTGGGATGCTCTGAAATTCTGTTTGAGTAGCATGTGTTCCCTGGAAGAAGTAGGTGTTTAATGAAATCCATTTGTTTCTGCCAGGAAAAAAGAGAGACAGATATCAGGCGACTTGGAGCTTGGGCACACAAACTGCAGCAGGGCACACAGGACTGCAGCCTGGCAAGCAGGTGTGTAAGGGCTGTGCTGTGACACTGTCAGATGGCACATCACATCCTGGGACAAAAAGCCTCTCTGGTTGTGTCACAGGCCGGGGGGCATCTCCCTTGCGCCACGAGGGTGCTGTTTGAATGGTAGTGTCACATCTCGTTCTCAGGGTGCTGGTGGCTGTGGGTTCTGTTCCCAGGCTGCCGCAGGTGCCTTATCCTTCCACTGGGCTGTTTTCCTCCCCTCGCTGCCCTCCTTGTTGTGCTGGAAGCATATTCTCAAGCCTGATGGCCAGCAGCAGCCCGTGTTTTGGGACAGTGCCCCTGTGTTCAAGGTTCCTGTGGCCGTCCCACGCCTGGTGCAGCTGCATGCAGGGCAGGTTCACACGCTGAGATCGCACAACAAGCCTACACTGATAAGGAGGGCCAGGGGCAACCGGCGGTACCAGAGACCCAATGCCCCTCACGCACGGAGCCTTGCGCTCTGGGGCAGCGGGCCCCGCACGTGCCCTAGCAGAGGAGGCGCTTCCTCCTGCCCCGTGGCCTGGATGCCCCCGGCCAGCTGCGCGTATGGCCAGCTAGGCTCCGGCCGGGCGCAGCCCCCGCGGCACAGCCCCACTCGGGGCGGGCAGGGCTCGGCCGGGGTCCTCCTATAAAAGCGGCGGTGTCGGCGTTGGCGGTGTCGCGCTGCCCCCGCCGGCCCGGCCCCCGGAGCCGCCCCTGCCGGCCTCCGCCATGGGCCACCCCCCGCCGCTTCGCCTGATCCTCGCCATCCTCATCCTTCGCTCCGTCGCCGGGGCCGCGGCCCGCCGCGCCCGTGAGCCGGGATGGAGGGTGGTGGGGTGGGGGATGTCCGCCTGACAGCCCTGCGTGCTGGCCGCGGGGGGTCCCGGCGGCCCCTCCCGTGCCGAGGGGTCGGCGGTGCCCTTCCCTGGGGGTGCGGGAGGTGGCAGCTGTGGCACGGCACCTGCTCCTCAAGGCCGTGCTGTGGGGGGATGTTCAAGGAGCATGGAGATCCCCCTTGGGCTGACCGTGGCTTTCTCTCGCAGCCCCCGCCAGCCCCACGTGTGCAGCATCGCGCCAGGCCGCCTGCGGAGATGGCTGCATCCCCATCCCATGGCTCTGCGATGGAGAGCAGCAGTGTCCAGATGGGACGGACGAGCTATGTGGTGAGTCAGAAGATGGGTCGTGGGGTGGGCTGAGGGGGCTGTGTTACCTAGCGGTGGTGCAAGGCAGAACAGAAGTGCTGATGGCGGCACCTGCCTGTGCAGAGGTACGTGTGTCCGGGAGCATCTGAGGGGGTCTGTGGCACGTGCACGTGTGTGGCATGGTAGTGCCGTTGACCCCGTGCCGTCCCTGCAGGTGCTCCCTGCGGCGGAGACCCCCATGTCTGGCAGTGTGATGACGGCCGGTGTGTTGCCAGCAGCTGGCGCTGTGACGGTGCTGCCGACTGTCCAGATGGCTCTGATGAGCAGGACTGTGGTAAGTTTTCTTCAGCGCCCCGGGGGGCTGCAGCCACGCAGCGCAGAGTCTGAGTGTCGCTGTGTCCCTGCAGTGTGCGGAGCGAAGAAGCTGCAGTGTCCTGGCACCCACCACTGCATCCCGCACTGGGAGCAGTGTGACCGGCATCAGGACTGCGAGGATGGCTGGGATGAGGAGGGCTGCCCCCTGCAGCCTTGTCTGCCAGGGCAGTGGCAGTGCAGGAACCGAGTATGCATTGTTGCCGAGTGGAAGTGCAACGGGGTTGATGACTGTGGTGATTCCTCGGATGAAGACATCTGTGGTAAGTGATGGTCCTGTCCAAAGGATGTGCAAAGGCACTTTGTGGGGCACCTCATGAGGCTGGGAGCCACCTGGCATCACCCTGCCCTCCTGACATATGTGCACCACAGCCCCCTGCCCACCTGGCATGGTGCGGTGTGATGAGGGGAAATGCATCCTGGAGTCCCTGATGTGCAATGATGAGGATGACTGCCTGGATGGCACTGACGAGCCCAGCACCTGCGGTGAGTGGGCATTGGGCAGGGGGAGCCCCAGGGTGGTCCTGCATCACCTCATCTCCCTGCTTCATCCTTTCCTGCAGGACGAAGCTGCTTTGTGCGCAATGGGGGCTGCGCAGAATCATGCACTGACACACACTGGGGTGTACAGTGCTCCTGCGGGTCTGGCTGGGTGTTGCAGGCTGATGGGCAGAGTTGTGCTGGTAAGGAGAGGTTGGGGTGTGCATGCTGCAGCACCAAGAATGGGAATGCCCTGAGACATCCCTGCTCTCGTCCGTATGCTGTGTCTGGTCCTGAGAAGGCTGCTTATGAGGCATCAGTGGGAGTGGGTGGGTCTGGGAAGCAGGAGTCTGGGTGGGCAGTGGCAAGGTCTGGAGGGTACTGGCTGTGGGCTGCCAAAAGTGCCTGTCCCTGCAGATGTGGATGAGTGCTCCTTGGAGTACGGCCCCTGTAGCCAACTGTGCAGAAACACGCCAGGAACTTTCAGCTGTGCCTGCCTCGAGGGCTACCTGCTGCGGCACGGCACCTTCTGTGAAGTAGCAGGTAGAGGGGGGGACCCTGAGGGGCCAGGCTGTGCCCACAGCATGCCCTGCTCGCCTTGTGACATCCTTCTTGTCCTGGCAGACAACGCAACACAGCTCCTGGTGGCCGTTGGGGAAGACCTGGCTCTTCTGGATGTGCGGACCCAGGCATACCGCCCTGTGCTCTCCACTGAGGCCGAGCTCCGTGCCCTGGTGTATGATCTGCTTCGTGAAACCTACTTCTGGCTGACAGAGGAGGGCGAGCTCTGTGCACGCCTACCGGGGAAGGATGCGCAGCTCCTCTATGCAGGTGTGGAGAAGCAAGGGTGCTAGGTTTTGCAGTGGGGCTGAGAAGGGGGCTCAGAGCTGGCTTGCCCCTGTCCTATATCCAGGGGCAACCTGGAGTTTGTCTTGTGTTCTGAAGCAGAGGCTGTGCCTCTTATCCTCCCTGTCTGTAGATGCTGGAGAGGTGAACAGCATCTCTGTGGACTGGTTCACGGGGCAGTTGTACTGGGCCAGCAGCCATCCTGCAGCCATCTATGCAGGGCTGGGTGACGGACGTGGCTATGTGACAGTGCTGGGGAAGGATGTGGCACCGGAGCAGCTGACAGTGTACCCATCTGCCAGGTGAGGATTAAGAGTGATGTCTTTGTTGACTGTGGCTTTGGGGGGCGTGCTGAGGCCTGGGTGCTTGGTACCTGCTTCCAGGTCCCTCTATTGGGTCAACCGTGGGCTGAGAGGTCGGACAGTCATTGCTGCAGCTGGCATGGATGGCTCAAACCATCAGGAGCTCACAGTGGTGTCCATGGAGGAGCCTATAGGGCTCAGCCTGGACCACGTGGCTGGGAGACTGTACTGGATCAGCGAATACAAGGAGGTAGGGACGGGGGGTAGCAGCACTCAGACCCACCAGGACGCTATAGCCAAGGCTCACTGTTCTGGGGCATTGGGATGCCGTATGGTCACCATGCTTTTGACCTATCTTCCAGTCCATTGAGACGCTGCGGGTAGATGGCAGCGGACGCCATTCCTTCCCTGCTGTCCTGCGGAGCCACACAGAGCCACTGGGCCTGGCTGTGTTTGAGAGCCGCTTCTTCTGGGCTGATGGCACCGAGCTGGTGTCAGCCAGCCAGGCCTCTCCACAGGAACATGCCGTACTGCTCCGGGCCCCCGTTTCTGCCTTCACTGTGCTGCATGCACTGCAGCAGCCACCACGTGAGTACCATGCCTCACCCTTGGTCCTATACAATGACTCTCCTGGTCCCTTGGCAAGGGCTGCTTTGTGGGGATGGTGCTGCCTGAGCTCTTAACGTCCCTTTTGCCTTTAGGAGACACTGCTGCATGTGCTCCAGGCTTGTGCAGCCACCTCTGCCTTCTGTCCCCTGTGCACCCTCGAGGCTACAAGTGTGCATGTCCAGAAGGACTCTACCTCCAGCCCTCAGGGAAATGCACAGGTGAGTACAGTCTGCTCGGCTGTGTGGGGCCAGGGACATCCCTGACTATGCAGCCTAGTACCTGGGCAGCCTTTCAGAGGGTCAGCCCTGCTTGTCCTGTGCCTCAGCCATGCTTACATGCTGCTCTTGCACCCCTCAGAGCTGTCTATCATATACTCATCGAGGACAGCCATCTCCCTGCTGCAGGTGGGCCCTGGAACACACAGCCAACAGGTGCAGGAGTGGCAGGAGGCCTTCCACCTGCAGGATGTAGACTGGCAGAGGTCAGTGCTCTATGGGACAGATGACAGTGGGGCACTGCTGCGTGTTGTGGGACACCCTGGGAAGCGAGAGACCATCGTGACCAGGCTGCCGGGTGAGACCTTATGTGGCGATGGACAGGGTGCTGGGGCATGCTTGCCTTCTCGGGGCAGGTACGAGGCTCTGCTGGGTGCTATACAGTGGTCTCTCGGTGCCCATGCTGGGGCTGTGTTCAGGTGTGGGTCAGCTGTGTCCTGGCTTTAGGGAAAGGGGGAACACAAGCAGAGGAGCAGGGCCATGGGACAGCCCTGTAACTGCTTGCTTGCCTGCTGTCCCCAAGTCTGCTCTGCCCGTGTGGACATCCGCTCAGGGAACCTGTACTGGCTCGCATGTAACCGGAGGGACATCGGAGTGACCAAGGTGTCTGACCTGACCCCACGCATCCTGCACCGTGCTCGCAGCAGCATCCAGCACCTCTTCTTGGACTGGCAACAAGGAACTCTCTACTGGCTGGCCCGTGGACAGCCCCTGCAGCAGCTGAGTCTGTCTGGGGGCAGCCCACGGGATGCTTGGAACGAGACGTGGCCTGGAGACCTGCCTGCGGCCATGGATAGCAAGGCCTTCAGCCTGCTCTGGAGCTCAGCCCTAGGTGAGCCCCACAGGGATCTGGAGCAGGGAGCAGAGGAGGTTGCTCTGCAGATGATAGGTCCCTTCCTGCTCAGTGGGGTGCTTTGGAACACTTTGTACTGTGGGTGTGCTCCTGTCTTCTGCCATGGGATTCCTGCTGTAATGGTGTGTTATGGTAGCACAAGGGCTGTCTTGTGAGCCCCAGATCCTCAGCAGGAAAAATTTCTTCTGAGAATGAGTGATGAGGTATTGGAACAGGTTGCCCAGAAGGCGTTCAAGAAATGTAGAGATGTGGCACCGAGGGACATGGTTTAGTGGGCACAATGGAGATGGGTTGATAGTTGTACTGAATGACCTTAGTGGTCTCTTCCAACCTTTATGATTCTGTTATTTCTTCCTCACAGGCCTGAAGGCACTGAGTCTGACCAAACAGAAAGCAGTCACCCTGGCACCTGGCTGGTCCCATGGCCTTGTGGCCGCCTTTGAGCCCTACTTGGTTTCAGTTAATGAGACGGCTCTGCTGCTGTGGGACCGGAGGACGCTGTCTCTTGTGCTATCAGTGCCAGCAACAGGCGTGCAGGGTGTGGTGGCATTCGTGGGTTCAGAGCTACAGGAAGGTAAGAGCAGCTCTGTGCTTGATGGGGCTGGGTGGCCTGTCCTGCTCCAAGCTAGGGTGCCACCTGGGTGCTGGGGGCCACATATGTTGTTTCTGGTGGTGCCTGAAGCGTGGGCAGGGCACGACCCCAAATCCAGGCTCATGTTCTAGTGCCTGTGCCTCTGCCAGTGCCAGCAAGCAAAGGACCTGCCCTGCCACTTCCTCCACCTGTGACCATCACTACAAGGACAACCACAGCTACCACATCTGCTCAGCCCACCACCTCCACCACACGGCTTTCACTGAGAAAGACCACTGCTGCACCTACCATGCCTGCAACAACCACCAAGGCTACTACAACACTGACCACCACCAGCCTGTCCACCCCAACTAAAACCACCACCACCAGGCCATCCACCACATCCACCTCTGTACCAACCACCACATGGGCCACTCCAAACAAAACCATCCCTGTGTGGTTAGCCACCACCAGCACTGCCACCACTCGATCCTTGCCAACCAATCCTTCTGTCTCACAGCTAAGCACTAGCACCCAGCACCCAACCACTCCTGCACTGGCAGTTCCCCCCACTCCACTCCTCAGGCCCAGCTCTCCACGCCCCCCAACTGTGTTCTCCCATCTCTCCTGTCCTCGCACACACATGCCCTGTCGTGACGGCACTGAGTGTGTGGCCCAGGACTACGTGTGCGATGGAGAGAAGGACTGCGCAGATGGCTCTGATGAGGATGGGTGTGCCCAGCTCTGTGACACCCCAGGTAGGAGACAGCCTTTAGTGGATGATCATGCGCCAGGGTTTCTGGCTGCTTCCCAGTGGGGCTGATGGGATGAAGCCCTGAGAAGTTCCATGACTGCAGAAGACTGAGAATGATCCATTTTCTGCCCAGAGGCCTTCCACTGTGCTAACAGCACCACGTGTGTTGGGGCTCACGAGCGCTGTGATGGGGTGCCACAGTGTCCTGATGCCTCGGACGAAATGGGCTGCTGGAGCCCCACACAGGACTGTGCCCTGCGCTGCGATGCTGCCACCCGCTGTGTCCCCGAGAGCTGGCTGTGCGATGGCCATGCCGACTGCCTGGATCACACCGACGAGCAGGGATGCGGTGAGACCCGAGGGTTGGATAGGATGATGTGGTTTCCTGGGGTACCGTGTGCCCTGCATGTGGGTGTACCAGCAGGTTGGTTACCAATGGGAGACGGGGACACTGTGCCCCCTGTCATCCCTGCCTCTGCCCACAGTGCCGAAGAAGTGCAGCCCATCTGAATTCCCCTGCCACAGTGGGCAGTGCGTGGCCCTGGCTCTGCGCTGTGATGGCGACCCTGACTGCCGTGATGGCTCGGATGAGGAGGGCTGTGCCGTGCCCCGGCCTCTGCTGTGCCGCCCAGGGGAGGTGGTCTGTCCCCACAGTGGGGAATGCGTGCCTGAGGCCTGGCGCTGCGACGGTGTGGCTGACTGCAGAGACAGCACAGATGAGCAGGTGGGTGAGTGTTGGGAATGCCTCCTTGTGTCCCCGGAGGGCTGGTGGCATCACTCATCCCCTACTCCTGCAGGACTGTCCCTTGGAGGAACAGCAGTGCGGTGAGCAGCAGTGGGGCTGCTCACACGGCCATGAGTGCATCCCTGACGCCTGGCGGTGCGACAGAGAGAGTGACTGCAGTGACGGCAGCGACGAGGCTGGCTGTGAGCAGCACCTGCATGTCCCCTCTGTGTCCCACCTATGGGTCCTCAGCAGAGTGAGGAGTGGGAGCACATCCTGCTGCAGAATGCCCCTTCCCAACATCAGTGGTGGCTTTAGACCCAGGGTGGATGAATGTTGTCTCCATTGGGCTGGTGGCTATGACATTAGGGTAGCTTGGAAGCAGGCTGCAGGCATTGTGCTGGGCATTATTGCTGTGTGTTCTGTGCGCCCCCCAGCAGCTCCTGTTGAGCACAAGGAGTTAGTGGCTGAGGCTGAGGGCAGCTTCTCTCCTGCAGGCCAACCCACTCCCTGCCTGAGCCATGAGTACCCCTGCGGGCTGGGGATCTGCCTGAATGCATCACTGGTGTGCAGCGGTCAGCAGGACTGCGCGGATGGCTCAGATGAGGGAGGAAACTGCTCCCTGCCCTGCCAGAGACCCTGCTCACAGCTCTGCTACCCATCACCCCAGGGACCTGTGAGTGCTGGGAGCCGTGGCCTGGGAGTCTCACCCCACTGTGCTTCCGTGGACTGCACAGGCTGCAGCAGGGAGCCCCACATACTTGCTGTCCCCACAGCGTTGCTGGTGCGCTCCAGGCTATCAGCTGGCTGAGGACGGCATGTCCTGTGTGGATGTGGATGAGTGCACAGAGCAGGGCAAGGAAACCTGCAGCCAGATCTGCCTCAATGCTCCAGGGACCTACAGCTGTGGCTGCCTCTCTGGCTACCTGCTGGAGCCTGATGGCCGCATCTGCAAACTCAGCGGTAAGTCCTAAGGAGGGCAGGCAGCATTGGGCACCTCCTGGTATGCCAGGAGTCAGTGGGTATGTGCTTGTGTGTGCCTCTTGCCTGTGGGAAGTCATGTGGTCCCCTCCCTGTCCCACTGGCCATCACTGATACTTGTTTGCCCATGGCCATGGCAGTAGGACTGCATCCCAGCAGGCTCTGATGCCTAGGATGGCTATGTTCCTTGGCTTCACAAGTGCCGAGAGTCTCTGTGTCAACCCAGGACCAGAACCCACACTGTTGGTGGCTGTGCAATCGGAAGTGCTGTCCTATGGCCTTCGGAGTGGGCGCGAGGAGGTGCTGCTGACCACTGACAAGGAACGGACCGTCTTCTCACTCGACTATGACTTGGTCGAAAGGAGAATCTTCTGGATGGACCTGGCCACAGAAAGCATTTCCTGGCAGAGTCTAGATTCAAGCAAAAAAGGCACGCTGGTGAAAGGTAAGCTGCGATAGCTTGGGGCTAGTGAGGCTGCCCTCTCTGTGTCTTGGATGCAGTTGGGGTACCAGGCTGTGTCCCCATGTATGGGAAAATTATAGAACCATAGAATGGCTTAGGTTGGAAAGAAACTTAAAACTCACCCAGTTCCAACTTCCTGCCATGTGCAGGGTTGCCACCTACTAGCTCAGGCTGCCTAAGGCCCATCCAGTCTGGCCTTGAATGCCTCCAGGGACAGGGCATCCACAGCTTCTCTGAGCAGCCTGTGCCAGTGTTTCACCAGCTGCTGGTGGAGATGGCTAGGAGAACTCTGAGCTCGTGAGGTGATGGGGATCCAGGCTGTGAGCATGGTGCCTCTTGCAGCTGTCACCCTATGGGTGTTGACTCTTGGTCTTCTTGCAGGTGTAAGATCAGACTGTATTGCTGTGGACTGGCTTGGGAGGAACCTGTACTGGACGGATGGGGTGGCAGGGCAGGTGCTGGCCACTTCTCTGGGAACTGCCTGGAGAGGGAAACCAGAGTACACTGTGGTGCTGGATGGAGACTTGGACCAGCCACACTCCCTGGTGCTCCAGCCTCTGGCCGGGTAAGGCTGGGGCCAGAGGACTTGGGGACCTTCTTGCCTGGCCCACTGTCCCCCATAGAAACAGACAAGAGGCTGGGGGAGAGTTGGGTTGGCCTCATCTGAGTGCTGTTGCTGCTGTATGATTGGGGGAGAAGAACCCAAGCATCTGCTCCTGCTCTGCACAGAGCTCTCAGTGCATCCCTGATGGGATGGGAAACCCTGTGCTGCCCCTCCGTGCTGCCCCTCCGTGCTGCCCCTCCGTGCTGCC